GCAGGCCCTGCCGTTGAGCAGAAGCTCTCATGTAGAGCGAGGACCTGGAGGGAGAAGGTGCTGTGTGGCCCAGGAGTGTGCAGTAGGAATCCTGCCTTTGGCCAACCCATTTTTTTCCTGTGGGAATTCTGCTTATAACACAGGTCCTCCACTCCACTTGTACACTCGCAGATTGGAAAGCAGAGTACAGCATTGAGAATTCAAGCTTGCCCGCATTTCTGTACTTTTTTTCCTTTAAAGACAGGTAACACAAATACAGTGCTAGTTGGATTCTTTTTATTCCATTGGTGACAGTTGGGCAGCTGCCCTCACTAGGTGTTGTTTATCAATATGCAGTTACATAGCAGTATATACTGAAAAAGCCTGTCTGCCTTTCATGTGGAAAGGAAGCTGATCAATAGTAGTAGATTCCATCACGTGTATGATCCAAGAGTATAACATATTTGTCATGGACAAGAAATTGAATTTCTCCGTTTGCATCTTTGTGAATGAGAGGGTTTTGTTTTCATGGATTTTGTTTCATGAGCTTCTTTGGAAAACAGGGCATTAATTCACACATGCAAGAGAAACAGAAAGACTACATGGTGTAATGACTGCAGTGTAAAAATGGAAAACTTAGTGCTGTTGGAAACAACATGCATTCACATTTTTATGCAATAGAAATACTTGATGTATTAGAACTTTTAAATTATATAAACAGATATTAGTCCATGTGATACTTAATTAAACAGCAAACATCAGCTATTTCTCTCCTGCTTTTCTAGGAGTTTCCCAAAACTTGACCCAGAGCAGGACTTCACAAGGCTAAAGTCACAAGAGGGTGTTCTGGGTGTCAGTATCTGCTGAGGGGCAGTGGCATCCCTGGGTGCGTGACCTACCTGCCTCGCTTTTGCATCACAGAGAGAGACCATAAGGAGTATGGTCCCCTTTATGGGAATCCTTTATGCAAAGAGAACTTCAGGCTGCTAGCTAAGCTTGTTTTCTTACCATGTAGCATCATTAAAATGCAAAACCCACAGCAACATATTCATAGAATCATAGAATCATACAATGGCTTAGCTTGGAAGGGACCCTAGAGATCATCTAATCCAACCTCCCTGCCATGGGCAGGGGCACCTCTGAACTACACTAAGTTGCTCAAGGCCTCAGAGGTAGTACAGTTGAAAAAAGAATCCAGAAACAAAACACTGAACAATATTAAGTTATGCATGGTTTAAAGCTCCCAAATTGTAAGTCAGTAAGAGCTAAAAACCATGTAAAGTTTGACATTTAGAGTAACCGGGGTTTTTTTGGTTTTGGGTTGGTTTTGGTTTTTTTTCCATTGGAGATATTTTGTTACCTAGGATATTTTCTTGTGACGTATCTAAAAACAGCTAAGCTTTTAAAACAGAAGTTACTTTTTGGTCTGACAAAGAGGGCACAAGAAAAAAGTGTTTGAGAAATGCATTTGTCTAAAAAACCCCATGAGAAAATATAAGCTTTTAGAGTAAAAGTTAAGTCAAGCTTGTAAAACAATTGCAGTGACTTTTCTTTAGCAACTCTTGCTTTATGCTTGTGATAGTCGCTGTCTTCCACTCCAGTCTCTACTTCTGAAGAGGAAGGAATGAAAAATACTTGCTGGACAACTAATTTATCAGCCTGACATTACCATCTATCAGGAGAGGCCTGCTGCTAGGAAAATCAAGATTATTGGTTCAGGGATTTTGTTACCTCTTATGAAATGAAGGTTAGTTTAACAATATACATACCTGAGAGATGTTCTGGGCATTTTGAGCCCAAGTCCCATACATCACTTCTTTTTCTGTAGTATGCTGTGGTGATTGCTGTCTTCATTGACTCTCTCTCTGACAGTCCTGCTGCTAAAGAGTCCACGCAAAGCAGAAAGGATTTGAGTTTCTTTTCCTTCACAAACTGTGAAGCAGTCCAGCAAAAATTTTTAATATTCTTAGATTAATCTCAGTTCTTACCATGTATGTTTCAGCATAGAACCCTATTAAGTGTTGCAGACCCAAGTATCTCAGGGCTGATGTCAGGGAACATATAAGCAGCAACATACAGACACCTCCATTACGTGTCCTGCTGTTTAACTGTAATTCAGCAGCTGGAAGCCTGGCAGGGTAAAGGGCTTTTCATATGGCAGTGGACTATGAGTGGGAAATGAGGCTAGCCCTATGGTGAATAAGGGCTAGTTTCTTAGAAAAAAATAAAGAAAGAAAACTGTAATGAACGAGAATTAGGCATTTTTACAAATAATAACAAAAATCAGAAATTGAAGGAAGTAATTTTGTAACCTGTCCAATAAATATCGATATCTACCAGTTCAATGAAGGTTCAAAAGCTACAATTTCACTCTGATCTTGTTGCAAACCTTAGCTGTTTTTTTTTTTTTTTTTTTTTTTTTTTTTTTTTTTTTTTTTTTTGTGGAGGGATGGTTGTGTGTACTCTAAATTTACACATTTATGGGCTGAAGAACTTATTCAATATGTAATTCAGAGTCCCATGCAACCAACATTCTGCTCTGCAGCATAGCAAAATATGGACAGGTCTATTAATGAACAGATATAGCTGTAATCACTTTCAGCCACTTTGGATGATGCTCGCATGATAATATTTAGTGGAATGATAATACCCAGACCTTTCAAACCTACATCCGCTGAATTCAAAGTAGAGGGAATTTGCACATTGTATCTTCAAATCTGTATGGATGCAAGACCTGATGGCTTGCCAAAGACTTCACCACTCGATAATGAGACTAGAATTTATCAGTTCCCAGATTGCAGTTATATTTCAGAAAACAGCTTTTTTCTTTATTTTTTTTTTTTTAATTTGTCCTAACATGCTATATGTAACATGCAGCAAGACAGTTACGATCTCGTAGGAGAGTACAAGATATCAGGATGTGAAAATACGTATGTAAACTGGAGGGCAACATAGCAGTAGGTGATGCTTTGTGTAGGCAAGGGAGGAATCAAGAGCAATCTCTGCACTTAATCCTGCTCAGAGGGAAGACTTACAGATCCCGAGTATATGATCATACGGTCAAGGCTCATGACTCAGAACTATATGGTACCTTATTTTCATTTGTGGTTTGTTTTCCTTAATCATGTTTACAAGAAGGCTTTCCAGAACTGTTGAACTGCTTTAGGATGTGAGGCTTCTCTGAAAACATGAGCAGCTTCTACCTAACTGCCTGCTGGACTTGGCAGGTGACATTGGCAAAACAAGCGGGTTATTGACTTTGTGAGGAATTGCCACCTATCTGTCACACCTAGGAAGTTAACAGATTTTACATACCTCCACTTGGAAGACTGATATTTTGTCAGTACTTTTTCTCTAACGCGAATGGAAAGGATGGTATTTAATTCGTGTGTGAGAGATTTTGATTGTGTCTGCCTTGGCCTTTTATAAGTTCATTTTGAAGTGTTAGCATTACAAATAAATGGCATACTTATAAGTATGTAGGTATTGCCTGTGTGTAAGATTTATAATCGGTTTACATTCTGCAGTAAAAGAAAGTCCCATATTTCACTACTCTTAACATTTCCACTCTTTTGCCATCAATACTACTAGATGCTGAGTATGGCTCTCAAGCCCTTCACTTCCATAATACGTCTTTGAGGATTCTTCTAAAAAGAGGTTGCAGGAGATGTCTGATAATTGTCATTGCTTCCAACAAAAATAATTGTCCTACGCTGAAGAATCTGTCAAATCAAAGGCTAGAAGAGGTGCCAACAGTGTATGCTAACTTACGTAGCTAATGGTGTGAGTGTAATTTAGACTGCCCATACAAGATGACATTTCACTAACCACAAAACATTCACTATTTGCTAATTACAACTAGCAGATTCTTATCAGGCTGATGTTTTTAATTAGAGCGTATATTTTGACTTTTATTTTTAAAAAATGTTTCGAAGTTAGACAGTGCCCCCTCCTGGACATAGGCTCATTCCAGTAGTTTGTAAAGTGCCCCAAATGTTGCCAATTAGAGAAAATGTACACAAAAATAGTGCGTTGCTTTGCTGAAGTGGTTTGCTGGTTTCAAGGAAGTACACTTTGTTGTGGTCCCTCTTTGCATTCTACTCTACTTGAAAGCATATTGTCTAACAAAAATTGTTCTCAGTCAATATGCAATTGTTAGATGGCAAAGAGCTTTTGATTAATTTAACTTCAACCTAGTTGTCTAGAGTTGACAGTGCAACTTTCATCACAGTGAGGAGCAGAACCTTGTAGTGATATATATTCCCGTTTTTACAAAAAGCAGCTCAATAGAACAAAAGTATATTCATCTTCAGAAATGAGGACGATGGAGAAATATGCAGTTGAATCTTACTTTTAGGTTTTCTCTTACATGTCTTTATTGCATTATTTCACAATAAAAAAATTATAATTATACTGAGAAGCTGAAAGTGTCATTTTTCTCTTTTTCCTTTCTTGAGGTTGGTTTTTTTGTGGGTTGGGTTGTTTGGTTTTGTTTTTTTTTTTTGGGGGGGGGGAATAAGAACCCCAACACTATCAGTTTCACTTAATAATTCTAATCTCATGCCTTTAGACTTTTCCAGTGTCCATAAAAAAAGCGGTTTACCCAGGATGCAACTTGAGACAGAACATTCTCAAGATTTACAATATCTCACAGCAAAGGGGACAGAGAGCGAGAGATGGATTTCCCTAGTAGTTAATTTAAAATGTGTATTTAAATTCCTTCAAAGGTAGACTATGAAACTGTAATAATGCAGCATTTACAGGAAAATTTAAATTAATGGCACAGAAAGCATTACATATCCATTCATCAAACTTTATAGTTTTCAAATCACTTCTACAGTTTTTCTCAGCACAGAAAACACATGGAGAGAATAGTTCTGTAGGGTTAACTGTGAATGTTTTCTACTATTTGGCTGACAGGTTGTTTATACTTTAGCTTAAACATGAGGCAAAGCAGCTGTTATATTTATTTACTTAAATTTTGCATGCTTTCTAAAAATCTGCAGACTCCTTAAAAACAGACTGTCCATGCAGAGCAGCCGCTCTGCGTGCCAAGCGCCGCATCCTCTGACTGCTCACTTCGAAGGTGCACTTCTAGGGAAAATGCAGCCGATCCTACAGCATACACTCAGTCACATGAGCATAGCTCGGGAGTGGAGGTCAAGATGTGCTCCCAAAATACTCTGTCCACTCGTAATATTGCCCTTCAGTCAGCCATTGCCCATTACTTACCTGAGCCTGCAGCTGTGAGTGTCTCTGCTCCACCAAGTGAGCTCCACTGCAAAGAGCTGTGAGTGCTGGAGTAACAGACCTCCTCATTAATGGTCACAGTTGGTCATTAGCTGGTCACTGAATCTTTCTTGATGACCTGGTAATGAACTTCCCACTGGCTTATTGTGAACATTGGCCAAGGTAGACAGTACAGGTAATTTATAGCTGAACACCCAGCATGCTAATGGCCTTTGCTCAGCGACTGTGATCGGCACAGTACTACTGAGAAGCATTACATCCTTCCTAATTTATTTCTCAGGTGTAAATATTTCATGTTGAATGGAAACTTTGGATTCTGTGTTTAAAAATATCTTTATGTATTTTATTTAGGGGGGAAATTTCTTTAAGAATTTAATGAGGAAAAAAACCTTAATCTTACAAACTCCTCTTTCTGACATATTTTGCTCTTAACAAAAGATGTTTATTTTTAAAAAACAAACCTATGCATGTTAATATCCACATGTAAAAGGCTCAGAGGCCTTCACGGTGCAAAAATCAACTCTCAGTGGGTGCCTGTTAAGCTGCAGGAGCCTGGAGACCTTTGATGGTACAGCACCTGTGGTGCCTAATCTCTATGAATCATGGATGAGTTGTCCAGAAGCTACAGTCCCTCCAGCTGTGCTCTTGCCAGCTCTTAAAAGCTAAAAAATTTCAACCAGGCCTTGACTTCGTGGGAAAGCTCCAGAAAAAGCTCAAGAAGTGGCAGTGATGCATTAGGTAGCACTCTTCCCTCTAAGAATGGTAGATAATGTCATAGGGGTTATCCAATTATCACAGGAGCCTCCTTTTGCTTTAGATGTGCAGGTACCTTCTCCTGTTTTGAGAGTGATTCAGAATCCACCAATGCCGTGGTTGCTAGACATTTCACAGCCCTGAACGCGTGCTAGACTGGATGACTGTGGCCAAGATATACATAATTCTTTAAGGTTTTGTATTTTCATTTTCCCATGTTTGTGTGTCTTAATTATGATGCAAAACCAAAGTAAAAAAAAAAACAAAACAAAACCAGCTAGTTCATACCTGCTATGCGACTGCTGTAAGAAACTGGGTTTGCATCTTTTTATAATGTCTTGGGTGCAACTAGGAAGTTTATCATGTTTCACTACAGGTTCTCATGCACTTGACCCACATAAAGGGGTGTCCCAATGCTCATCTCATTGCCTGGAAATGGCTTCAAGATTGCAAAAATAAATCTCTCCAGTGCTTCCAAATGGCACTTCTTAAGCTGAGTAGAGATTGAGGAGGTGGGTTTCCAGGGAAGTGCCCTCATCATTGCTCCCTGGGGTGTGGAAACAGGAGCTGTGGCTGTCTTTAGATTTTTTGCCCTCTCACTGAAGATTTTCAGCTTACATTTGGTAACTTTGCTCTAAATGAGATGAGATTATCAAAATGTCTCGTTAGCTAGAGATTCATTTTCATACTTTTTGACTATGAATGAGCCTTTCCTCTCCATCTGAATTTCAAGTACTGGGATATTCCTGTCTTCTTAGCAGGCATTGCTGGCAATGGGTGTGGCACCAACCAAAAGTTTATGGAATGACTAAAAGGACTCAATTCTTAAACAGTTTGTGAAAGCAACATAGATGGTACTTGCCTCAATGTTGCACATTTTGATTACAGACTTTTAATTCTGCACCATTTATAGCATGGAGGTGAGAGTTCAAGTCTGACAGAGTTGTCGTGTGCTTTCACAGAAAAACTAAATCATTTCAGACAAATAAGACATTTATTTAATAATTACTAATCTTGTAATCAACATCCTGCATTTGTTTCCATACTAAAAAGTAAATAAGGTGTTCAAATATTAATGTTGTATGTTTGAGAAGGTCCAGGTCCTGACTGAAAGCAGTGTATTTTTAAGGAAATTAATTGAACCCAGATGGACTTCTCATGTCATCTTGGTACAGAATGAAGTGTTAACAATACATCTTTTTTTTTTCCCCAGGTGCTGTGGTCAGTCAGCTTTAAAATCTTAAGATCAAAAATCAAAAGTGTAAATAAAGTATGAGTTTGGCCTCAGAAGTTATGTAATATAAACTTCATGAAAATGGGAGGAAAAAAGCACTCCTTAACTCACAACATTTCCTTGAATCACTGTGTAATTATCCACTAAAGAAATGCATATAGCAGTTTAGTAGAGTTGGTGCATGTTGAGACAAACATCTTTACAGCAGTGAATGCAAAGCACTGTTTTGCTCCCTATATGTGCTCTAGCTGAAACCCCAAAGCCAAGGGGTACCAACACAATGTAAGACCACACGATGAAAATAAAATAAAGTGAAAGCATATCACAATTTTAATTTTCACTATAATCATTAAATAAGTAATGCTGCACATATATAGAATTTCTGCTCCCTGCTGCACATACCTAATGGCTATTCCCATTCGTACAGTGAGACGTGTCCCACAATGTACAGAGTGAGTTCACATGTGTTCTTTTCTCAAGTTTCAGTGTTTAATATTTTCCTGCTAAGATAATTTAGCAATGAGCACACTTCTGTCATCTACTGACTGTCCCTTGGAAATTATAACCTACAGGAATCTACTGGCCTCTTTGCAGCAACCATTTCAAAGCTGAACGAACACAGATGTAATTGCACATCTATTTTACCTAACCTTTATCTGTTTTCAGAGAAAACATGGAAATCTTTGGTTAAGTTAGCTCTTTTGGAAAACACATAGTCTTCCGTTTCCTTACCAAACACAGAAAGAATACAAAATTAAATCCTGTTCCTATGTAACATTGAATCTCATTTTTATTGTATTTATTTTCAGAAAATTTATTGAACGCTAATGACAAGATGAGTAGATACTTTTGGACATTTTCAACAGCAGCCGGAAACTGAGTGTGTCTACAGATATAACTATTTTCAAATAGAAAAAACCACAAGTGATTAAAAAATGAAACTTTTTTTTTACAAATTTAGAATTAACATGTTTTCTTACATTCTTTTGTAACAGGCAGTTCTGCTAATCTGACCTGCCGAGCTTTCTTTGGATATAGTGGAGATGTCAGTCCTTTAATCTACTGGATGAAAGGGGAGAAATTTATTGAAGATTTGGATGATAGTCGAGTCTGGGAAAGTGACATCAGGTAAAAGAAAAAACATTTTGTTTTTTCAGTCAATATCTTTTTTTGATAGTTAATGTAATACTTGTTATCACAGACTAACTCGGGAACACTGATTCCTGTTTTCACAACATCCATTCTTTACCTTTTCATCTACATCAGTAGAAAGCAGAAAAATGCACGCCTCAGACAGATCTGATGTTAGAAAGCTGCAAAAACTCAATAGCTGCCCGACAAGTACGGTAGTGTTAACCAACTGGAATTTGCATAGTGACTTTTTCAAATTGTGGCAATGTACAATAACAAGCATTAAGACAGTTACTAAGATGAAATAAAGAAAAATAAATACATCCAAAAAAACCACCAGCTCAAAAAAAGTGTTGTAAAACATGGAGCCTTAAATGCATGCTGAAGTTGGCTTCTCTTTTGGAATGTTTTGATTTTTTTTCTTTAAGGAAAAAACTGAGTTTCCTGGGATGTTATCTGGCCTGTGAGAGCCAAGCATCTTGTTATGTGGGCTGCTTATATCTGCTGAAATACTTGTTTTAGAGAGGATCTGGCAATTCGCTTAATCTACTTTTACTGCTCCTAAAGTGCTGCCTCATTTGGAAATTAAGAAAAAAGTAATTTTATATTGGGAATTACAGGCTTCACATAGTGTACCAACTCCTATCCAATACGGAGTATCTACTTGGATCTGAAGATACTGTCTTTTCATTTATAATTCTATATGTGTGTATATCACTGTGCATATATGTCAAGGATAAACCTAGAAACGAAGGCAAATCTAAATGTGTGTTACAAAGGAAGCTAAATAATGACAGATGTGTTATCTATAGTGATTGTCTGTAACAGAACAAAATGAACTTATTTACACTTCACCTCTTAGACAGGAGTTTACTATCTCTTCAAAAGATACGAAGTCACGCTCATTTTCAGCTTAACCTTGGATTTCTTCAGTGTAACCAAAGTAATAGAGGCAATTCCTTTACCAAAATAAGAAGCCCACATAGACATTCAAGGTCATTTCCGTGTCCCCACATATAGGCAAAATGGAAGCATATTTCGCCCCAGTCTACTTCAAGTTTATTCTGTAAAGCTCAAGACCAATACACTAAATGGCACATGACAACCAGATCAGCTGTATTTCGCATCTAAAGCTTTTCCCAAGCCCTTCAGCCAGAGACCTGGCATTCTGAAGGCTGATAAAAAGGTGACAAAAACCTTGTTACAACTTTCTTGGTTTGTAGAGGAAGGAGTAGGAAGGCTGGTTTCCATTTCTTTTGTCAGGTGTGACTGAGGGAGCAGCATAGGGCAGTGTGTCATTTGCCTTGCCAGGTTTCTAAAACCACTGATGGGCATGCTAAGAGGTGAAGACCGCAATGTGAAGACAGGTAGTCTTATGCGGCAAGTCTTTTATGTATTGTCTATATGAACAAGTGGCATCTGGTATGCCAGTTCTTTCTACTGATTTATAATGCACAGTCAAATTTTATCATACATTCTATAAATAATTTTTCAGACCCAGGCATGAACTGTTTTGAATGACATGTTGAAGAGCCTCAGAAAGTGCACAAATAGTGTTTGGCCCAGAATCCTAGTGTGACCCTAAACCCCAAAATAGCTGTTTTAACTTTTCCTTCTTCTAACATTTCAAGACTTCACATACTACTGATCAGGGTCTCGATGAGAGTGTGCAACAATATGTTATCAGTGTGTGCATCATCCTGCTTAAAGAAGACAATTAACTGAAGCTCTCATTAACATTTACAAAGCCAAGCCTCCTCATTAGAAGCGAGGAAGAAAAGGGCATGTTATAATCTAATTAAGATTTCATCAAACCATAGCCAAATTTGAAGCCACAGAATTGTGGATTGTGAGTGGCATTATTATGTCATGATTATCTAATGCTCTGCTATGATACAAACAGAATAGCAGCGATGGTTGCTTTTTTCTTAGGGTTCTCAAGGAACATCTCGGTGAACAGGAGGTTTCCATCTCATTGATTCTTGATTCTGTGGAAGAGGCAGACCTGGGGAATTACTCGTGCTATGTTGAGAATGGAAATGGACGCCGACATGCCAGTATTCTTCTACATAAAAGAGGTAAATATGCAGCTTTGCTCCATGAGATGATACATTATAGGGGCGGGTGGTTTGTAGAGCTGTCTTCTGATGCAAGCATGAATTTTTGCTTCCTGAGATATTAATAGGCAATGATTTTTTTTTCCCCAGGCATTTGTACAACTTTCAAAATAAAACAAAGTTGTTTGTTAGCTATGGCTGTCACTAGGAAAAAAACAGTAACACCTTTTCAATTATATAAAAGATGCATTTAATAATAAATGAACTTTAAAACTAATAAAGGCTCAACAGAGAAAAAAATAGGAAGCCACAGGCAATTCAACTGTAACAATTTTCTGTAAGAAATAAAATCAAATAATACAAAAGCCAACAAAATACATTCCACTTCTATCAGAAATGCCACCTAAACCCCATGCCAGGGGAGTTCCTGCATAGCCTGACTGTGGACATTTTCCTTCTAACACATTTATTTAACACCAACATTTCTGTAGTGAAGTATCATGAGAGAAAGTTCTAAGGACCTTCCTGTTTCTAGTCACCACTCACATCCTGTGATTCCAGCCTTCCTAAAGGCCACAGCCATCTCCCATGGAGATAATTACAGAGAGGTGGACACTTTCTTGCAAAGTGAGGTATCCAGATCCACTTTGTTCGTTTTACCTCCCAGAGGGTGCTCCACATGCCTGGGCTTGACGCTCCCCATCCTCATGCAGCATCCCGCTGGTTTAAGAGATCAAAGAATAATCAGGAGCAGTGTCTGTACTTCACTGTCATTACTGTGCTTTTTTTAAAACTGTTTGTAAAGGTGAGCAAACCAGCTTCTTACTGTGGTGTTGAACTACTTGTGGCATCTCAATTTGTATCAAAGCAGTGATGTCTTCCCTAGTATTAGTCTTGTAGTATGCAAAGTCTTTCTAAGTTTAAAAGGAAACCATAAATCAAGATAGTGTGACTTATTTATACAAAAGTATTTTTGTACCTCCAAATAATTGAAGAGAAACAAGTTGTAGCCATTTTTCTGAACTCATGTCATTGCTTCTTAAGATATGTAGATGTAAATAACTAGATGTTCTTCTTAGCCTGGCATTTGCCGTATTTTCTTGAATTTACTGATATGGGAATTTAATTGAACCTCAACAATTTACCAGCTGGTAGTCATATACTCCTAATTCAGAGATGTTTGAACCCAGAGCGATAGCTTAACCCAACAAACACTGGAATCCAATGGCTTGCTTTTAATAATGAAATTAGTGCATGGTACACTGAAAATAAAGAAATTTTAAGGCTTAAATTACTTTAGAACCAATACTTAATTAACTGACATGCATTAAGTCACATGCTGATGGTGAGTCCTTATTTTCCTTTCCATACAAGCAGTAGCTCCAAGACTGACAACATATAAGTCTTTTCTGTGACCATCATCTTTTTAATCTAACAGTGTGCATGCATAAATTTTGCAAGGGTCTACTTCCCTTGCTTCCTTTCTTAGAGAAATGAGTGTGTCAAACGCACCACAGTATGTGGCCTCATGATGACATGCTTAAGAGGAAGTAATCTCAATATTTTGTTGCCCTTATAAATAGTAAAAAGCTAAAAACAGGAAAAACTTCCCTACATATTTTTTTTCCTTCTTTAGGTACAGATGAATCTGAAATTGTGGTTTGGAAACAAAATCTGTTGTGCCCTCAAAAACCAAAATGTACCTGATACAAGCCTTCTACGTACTTTCCATGTTGACAACTGTTTCAGTGAAATGATAAATTAACCATGACAGATAAAATCTGAGCTAGTCTCTCAGGTCTCCTAGGAAAAGGAGCTTTGCACTGCTTCCTTAGTCTCTTGTATATCACCATGACAACATTTCGTTCTCGTTCTAGGTTTGCTTGTTTAGATCCACGTTTAGTTTTCTGCTAAGAATGAGTTAGCTGTTTATTAATTTCTGATTATTGGCTTACTTAGAACAAGTGGGACTTAACAATTAGGTAAATTTGCTTCCTGAACGCCAACGCATTTGCAGAGGAATTAGTTTTGGTTGGTTTTCTAGTTAGTGATCTGTCTTTCCACAAAAATGCTGGATCTGGAATGTTCACTAGATACCTTAAAAAGAAATTATAATCCTTCTTAAACTTCATATGTGGTAAATTATCAGCAGAATCAGCAGGTACAGGAAAGCAGAAAGCTCTGCTACTGAACAAAGAGCGTTCTTGGGAAAAGAGGTATTTAGGGCTAAACGCTGCAGTGGGGATTCAAGCGCAAAATTTAAGCCTTTCAAACACCCTTGCAGCTGCCGCTTCACCGTGATCAATATATTGTCTGTAAACTTAAAGTTCCAGGAGGAGCTTTTGGATACGACTGCTATTACACAGGCCCTGAAAGGGCAAGAAGTTCAGAGTCTAAATCATCAGCAAAAACCTGGATGCATCTTCTTCACTCTTCCCACTGGGCAGCCCAGCAGGAACACACGCTCACCTCACAGGAAACACAAGCAGGGTCCATCTGATGGTGGTCCCCAGCACAGACCAG